CAAATATTTGCTTTATTCTGATACTCGACGGAGGCTCTATAGCAAAAGGTTTTCTTCGATTCGAATCAGACACCGTTCAAATACACTGGTTAGTCAATATATACAGTACATTGAGACTGCCCGTTTTTGTTCTCCTTCTAATTCTCAGAGGCCAATGAATTTCTTTTGTCTGATGTCTGATGGCTTCTGCTTGGTAGTGCGCCAGTGGACCAGTATGATTTTCGGCGCAGACGTCAGTCCTCCGCTATGCGTTCAACCAGATTAGGTACTTATGGTTACTTCATAGTCGTTCTCCATGGACCAATCGGCTTCGACGCTTCAGACTGTAGCTTTCCTGTCTCGTCGTAATCTACAAGTAGCGCAGAAATGGTTGTTATTAGCACTTCGGTTAGACAAATGAGTCGCTGTGCACGGAGATTAAAAAGAGCCGCCCAAATACAGATGACAACCATTGCCGTTAATTACTGGTCTTAAGTAAGAGTAGCCTTCTCGTAGACAGATTTGCCTTAGAACTATGATGAAGCCTGCCAATCTTTGATTGTTATTGTTAGTAGGATTTATGACAAATATTCGAATGACGAAAGTAGTTCAGCATGGATGCAGTCCTTTAATATGTATGATCTTTGCCATTAGTTTTCTATGAGAGGGGACGCTGGTACTGGATTTGTGGACAATATATTATTTATAATGTAAATGATAGAATATTTCATACTGCACACCAGTTTATTCAAACACGGCCCGGGTGACCACATGAACTACCGGAAACCACCCTCAGACAAGTCCTTGACAAACAATAAAAACATTGATTATAGTCGATCATACGATTTAGCAATTGTGTGTCTATTAGTTATCCCGTGTTTTTGATGTATCAGAAAAATACCAGATTTTTATCCACGCGGACACTAAGAGAAAAAATGCATTTACCAAAAATGAACACCGTTGTGGGTTTGCTAGTAAGCTGCTAGTTTTTAATCCCGTCGGTAAGAATGACATTCACTTCCCTGGCTTTACAGGCGTTGCTTACCTCCCTTTGCTTGTGGTAGCCTGGGGGGGGGATCGTTTGAGCAGGTCCCGGCTTCATGGTACCAATTTTAGTGGGGAATGCTGATAAACTTGATTGACTGAGGTTGTAGATTTGGCTTATTGTTGTGAAGCCTTCAAAATTGATCAGTCGTTTGCATAGGCTCGGTCTACACAGGTAAAAGAAAATTCAAGGATTCAGCATATGTGAATGAAAGCAAATTATATTTTCTGGAAAAAGAGTTTTCTGTTTTCCTGTCTTTGAGAACTGGGAAAAAGTAACGCGTTACAAGAAGTGTCTAGAATAATTGAATCTTAGAATTCTGCTGATTGTCTCACGGAGTCTTGGATATTGACTGGATCATGCAAACAACAATGATGAATTTTGCCGGTGTCAAAGCTACTCTGGTCACCATATTACTGATTTTGACTATGCCCTGGCATCCTGATTTTCTCCGTAAGTGAATGCTTAACGTAAACGTAAAAAACGAAAATATTCTCTCAATGGATGCCAGAACAAGAGAAACAGCCCATACTTTTGTGTGCTATTTCACTTGAAGTAATCACCGCCGCCAATTCCTTATCTCCAATATCTTTTTGAATGGATAGTCTGAAGATGAAATTACAATTTGGATACCAGAGCAGTGGCAGGAGGGCGCTCTCTTCTAATTTTGCAAGTCCCTTTAGAAACGCCGGGAGAACGGTTTGAGAGGAGTACCGAGTACTGCACCAGGTCGTCACTCGCATCATTCTGTATTTCGTGAGATCTGGGTCACAAGAGTCTTAGATTTGAGGAAACTAGAATCTCGACCGATGGCGGATATGATTTTCCGATCGTATACAATCAATACCGGTTACAACATCATTCAGCTCTCAACTTTCCTGAATGGACTGTGGCTGTGTTGGTTGGGGCAGAGGTTGAAACGTCTATGAGACGAAACCATTTCCATGATACTATATGCCACCCCTATCCATGGATGGCATGTGTAGATGCGGATGAATTCACACTTAGTTGCAACTGTCAGGGTTGACTTAAGGTCCCAGCTGGGCCGGCAGGGTACGTGAAAGAGAGATAGAAAATTGATTGGCTGAACTTGTTGGTGTAAATTGCACGTGATCGGCTGTGATTGAATGCAGCGATACAGGTTGTTACTCGAAGCGGCTAAACTACTGATATAGACAGCTGTAACAGCAGACAGACAGACAACTGATTGCCTGGTCGACGTGTAGAATATCATCTGTAATGACCAGAAGAGTTGTCGGCATGTTTTTCAAATGTATTCTAATAACCTCCTCCTCATTCATGAGTTTCGATGACCGCTTATCTTTTCGGGTCACGAACACGACGCGTCATAAGGTGTTTCTAATATTTCCGATCTTGTACCAGCGTTTGAGATTTGGCAGAAGATAGTCTATCTGGAACAGGGTCCTTCAATACACTTACAGCAGGGCATGTCTTTGCTGTCCCTGGGGTTTCCCCTGGACAGGTCACTTGAGCAAGTAGTACTTTACTCGTTTCGCCTGTTTTTGACAGCATTCGTAATAAGTACCGTCCATTATAGCGCGTCAGATAACCTTTTCCTCTTACCTGAAAAATAATTAGCTAGAAAATTCGTTAAGCTATTGTTTGCTTGTCTGCTAAGGTGCAATAAACATTTCTTTGTTTTTGGTTTCCAGCTGGTTTACTCAGACCTACTCTGAGGAAAAGAATCTTCCCAAACGGTCTATGTAATCACTGGGTACATAAAGAAGTGTAGTACCAAGTATTCACTTGCATATTTTATGCATCTGCTTGAAGTTTATACATTGTGTGCCTTGGTACCAACTGTGGATAGTCCTGTAAAATCGTTCCCTGTAGAAGTTTAAAATTGTTCGGCAAAATTGTCGATTTTCAACCCCGGATTCCGACAAACTGAATGAGACTACGGTGCGATGAATTAAAACAGTTCTTTTGGACCTGCGAAAAAGACCAGGTTTGATTCATCCTATATTCATATCGGCATTTGCGTTTCGTGTCAGTTTTAAGGCCAGTTTCGGTTGGTACTGTGACCACAAGATCACTGCTGGAGGCGAACGTCGCTACAAAGGCATTTTTGTGCTTTAGGTCTTTTGATGATTTTAAATTAATTGTCCCGCTAACGACCACTTTTTTTCCATTTTCGTCCCATCAATCAATTTTCATATCCAATATCCGTAATTAGTTGTTTAATTGTGTTAAGGCATGTGAAAATAACAAATGATTGTGCGATGGAGGTTCAGACAGACAATGTAAAGATACCTGTCGTCGATTATTCGAGAAAGGTCTGGAAAATCGGCATTTGAAAGGTGCGAGTCACAGTCGCTCATGTAAAAGCACATCGATTGGTTTTTTAGATGCGTACTGAATGGTTCAGTTCTGAAATGCTGGATGACCTGTGCCTGTGCCTCACCTCGCTTGGTGATTTGTAATATTTACAGGTAGGCTTTTCGATGCAGAAGCATGAACAGAAAAGCTTAATCACAAAAATCATCACGTTCAAAACAAGATTCTGAAAAGGGGTACTCGTGGCCTACTGCATTTGCATTCCTCTTAATTCAGCTACATAACTGTGACGAGGGTTTCAGCCGCTATCGTCGAGGAACTGCTGAATTAAGACCCGGTGAGCTTGTGTTAAAATAACAACTGTAACGGAAACTAAAGCAAATGATGAATACAAGGAATAGAATCGATTGGATGTCGTTGCTAGAAATACTTGTAAGTATGCAAATATTCAGGCGGCGAAGCCCAACGGAAGCCTTATAATCTGATATGAATATCTTCTTGTTTTGGCCCTGACTTAATCGCTGATAAAACATTGGTCAAAGATAATAATCTTTGCATCTGTACTCCTTGAGTTGGTTCATCTGCTGCCATAAGAATGAAGTTCACGGTTCTATTTGCACCCTGCTTTGATCAACGTTGTGATATTAACATAATTCATCGAACAAAGGGGGAACCTTAAATTCTGGATGAGGTGACATTTATTTTGTTAAATTACTTGCCACTGTTACCATATGAAAACGATTGGCTTATCCAATGATGAAGTTAACTCGACCAGTGGTGAAGACAGAAGGCAGACAATAGAAGACACCAGAAGAACGTCTAATGGACCATAGTGGGTGGCAAATCAAATAATGGCTTACGTATATACATACGACAGCAGGGTATACGAGATGAACATCTAATGAGAGTAAAAGGTGAAGTAGGATAAGTTCTATTTTGTTCTACTTCTACCCCACCTCCGGAGGCCGACTGAAAATTGAGGAAAAACCGATTTTAAAACAAACCTGGCTAAGAGCTGGGCACCTTTCCCATCATCAGAGTACATTCCACTGTTTACTTGGAGGACTCAAGGTGAAAGTAAGGGATGGATGCGGAAAAAGCAGTATGATACACCCTCTTAATGCATGAGAGTTTAAATTGGTCGCAAATGTATGGGATCACTGATTTGGCTACAGAAGAACTACTACATGATTTCGTTCGTGGACTGTTGCTGTTGATGACATCTGCTCAATCGTCATTTTAATTCGCTTAATCCTTCTATCAATCATTCTTGCGCTCGTTTATCCATTGGATCATTCATTACTTCGATCGTTCACTCATTACTTATTCAGTTAATTAGTTTATTTCATTCATTTGTTGAAAGTGAAGCGACAGTGGCGTGGCAGGTTTGTTGTTCGCTTCGCCTTTTAAAGATGCCGAATTCGAACCTCAAGAGATCAATCGCTGCGGAAAAACGTTTTTGCTTAACTTTCAATCCCCTTGAGCAAGAAATTCACCCCGCTGCACCTTAACGCAACCGAAAGATAAACAGGCAGCAGGTCGTTGACCTGCAAACAATAGGGACAAGGTGATGTTCGACCGTGGTCATCGCAGATCGTGTTGCGAGATACGCGATCCTATTGCCTAATGCATGCACCTGGCGACTGTGATTTTCCCTGACACACGTGACAGCTGACTGAAAATCAGCTACAGATGCAAGGGGTGATAAAAAATAAAACGACAAAGACCCGTTAATTCGTACTTTCTTTTCATAAGTAATGTATGTTAATGCTCTGAATCTGA